TATGATTGTATATATATAATGTGTATTAATTTTAAGTGCTAACCTCTAGTAGAGGTAGGATTATTGCCTAGTGAGTGCAGAATTTACCCTAGGCTACCATCAGTACTTGTTCAGTATTATGAGCAGCCCAAGTACAAGCCCCACAAGGCTTCACCAACTAGCCAGTATGGATAATGCAGGGAGAATGAAAAGAACCCTTGCAGGTCTTAAAGGCCACTTAACAAGACAGATCAAGAAATGTGAAGATTTGTCACAACAATCTCAAGTTGATTATGCTGACCTGGAAAGCTATTATCAAGCAGCTGCAGGTAAATTTGAGCAAATCAAATGCCAAATAGCAACATATGTGGCTGAACTTGCCAACACCAATTTATCAGAAACAGAAATAGACGACATTATGGTTGATCTTGCGAATTATGAAGATCACACTCAGGCCACGTTACAGCCTTATGTCAAATTAATTGCCCAGAACAAGGCAACAACAACAGCAACAACAACAACAGTTGCATCTAATACGAGTCAAGCAGAAGCTCGACTCCCTCCAATTAATTTACCCACTTTCTCAGGAAAAGATGAGGAAGATTGGGACGAATTTTGGAACAAATTCGTTGACCTTGTAGACTCAAAACAATCTTTACCAAAGAGTAGTAAATTCTCTTATTTGCAAGGCCAATTATCAGGTGAGGCTAAAACAGTAGTATCCCATCTGAGATTAACTAATGACGGCTATGATCTGGCAGTAAAACTCCTCAAGGATAATTATGCTGATCCAGAAGTAAGAACATCACATTTAGTTCATGAGCTGTTGCATTTACCCCCACCGGAGGCTTCAGCTGATTCACTCCAAGTCTTCAAGCTGGAGGTAGAATCATTGATCAATGCCCTCAGCCTGACAGCAGATACAAACGGGGCTGAGTGGGTCTTGAAAATAATTGTCCAGGAGAAAATACCTAGGGACATATTGAGACAAATGAGTGCTCATTACAATAAAAGCATCTTATCCATGAATGAAATATCTGAAGGTTTAAAGTCAGTAGTTCATCAATTACGAACACATGACAAATTAAAACCACCAAGTAAACCCTCAGAAACCAATAATAGTAAACCACAGAGTACCAAAGGTACTCCAAATCAATCTAGACAATATAATTCAACACCAAAGTGGAACAGTAGCAGTGTGGGCGTATATGCAGTGGGACCCTCCAAGCCTATAGTTACTGTGTCACCCAAGAACGTGACACCAAAGGGTACTGGAAGCTATGGAACATGTTTGTTCTGCAATGAGAAACATTCAATGTACCACTGCCCTAATTTTCCTGATAGTGACGCCCGTGTTGAGCGACTCAAAGATTTGCAACATTGCACGAGGTGCCTCAGGAAACATAACATCAACGACTGTGATACCCAATTACACACCTGTAATAGGTGTAACAAAGGTCAGCACCATGCAGCATTGTGCAGAGACACCAAAACAACGTCTCCAAACCCCAAGGTGGAAGATAGCATTCCCACCACAGTACAGTACTGCAAGGTGCAACAAACAAAGAGTGTCCAATCGGCAAAGTCTAAAGGTAATACGACTTTGCCTACTGCCCAAATTACCATCCTGAATAAGAGGGCCAAGGTCCATACCCGTGGGTTGTTTGACCAAGGATCCCAGAGAACATATGTCACTAAAAGGTTGGCAGATGAACTACAATTAAGGCCTGTAGCCCAGATGTCATTCAATATCTCAGGGTTTGTAACAGATGCAGGACCTCAAGTCTACCAGGTGGTACAACCATCAGTACGTTTAGGCAGGTACGTCTGTCGAGTACAAGCCATTGTGGTGGACAAAATACCAGTAGACCTACAAGTTCAAGGTCTGAGAGCAACAGCCAAATTCCTGAGAAATAGAGGAATAAAATTGGCAGATAATATTAAGTCTGATCACCTCACCGACTTCGGTCTCCTTGTAGGGACAGACTATTGTCATCGATTCATCGGTAGCCCTACTAAATATCAGGGTATAACCATGTTAAACTCTGCAGGAGGTAAATTACTCTCAGGCCCAGTATCAAGCCTGAGGAGACCTATGCCTGCAGATAAACAATACCAATAGAAATCTAAATTTGTCAGCTGATTATATTTCTCCAGTAGCATTATACTAAGGAGATTACAGCTGACTATACCAACAGAGGTTGATGTTAGTATCATCATTTGAAGCTGAAGATGAGTTCATGAGGCCTCAGTGGCAAATCAGTGAACAGTAGCCTAAAACAGCTACAAGTCACTGCGACCAATGTCACTGAACCCACTGCAGTCTCAGAACCATACTTTACTTTAATGATGAGCTATTCAATCTTCTGAATCAATTAACTAAATTAAACCCCAATAAATCTGATGACTGATTTGATACATTTATTATTTAATCAAGATGTATTCCATGGGCCTCAGTGTTTATATATCAGTGACCAGTTACCTGAATAAACTTCAAGTTATATCTAATGTCACTGATCTCACTGCAGTCCCTGAATCATACTTGACTGTAGTACTTGATCACATTCAGTCTTCTGGGTTAAATAATATGTAATTAGGCTTGAATATTAGCCTTTCAAGAGTTGACAGGGAAATGAAATCGCATTAGACTTCTAACCCCCTGCAACTCTAGTACGGGACATCCGTCCTGTACGAACAGACGCACAAATGTGTGATTACTAACTACTAACATCAAATTAATCTAATAATTCGAAGGAGGAGTATCGGTGTTCGTCTGTTCTAATAGGACTTCGACCCGTGAGCAGCCCCTGGGGAATTATGTCGGAAAATCCGACAGCATTTAATATATCATACAGACAGATAATAATTGCTGTATGTATAAACAAGTTACCCATAGAAAACGTAACTTGTAGTGGAATTACCGTCTATAGAAAACGGGATATCATCACCACATACTATTATAAATTCACCAGCTATTCTGCTGGGAATTATTCTTAAATACATTAGTCTTTGGACTTTACCATCATAAAAACATCTCATATAAATTAACTTAATTATCAATATTGAAGTAGAGTAAATGTGACCCTTCTATCACTTTCTGTCATCTGGACAATGTAAGCCAGGCATCAGGAGTGAGGAAGGAGGGGCAGCCATTGTTTATACTGAGACCAGAGGCGCAGGGAGCAATTCGGCTCCTGTTAATTTTACTTGGACGAAGTGTTATGGAAACCAAAGGTGTACCATTATCACACGCTGTCAACAAATTCAAGTTAAGTGTTCTACCGAAACCCATTTATCTATCATTAGTGGCCATTAATGTCATTGGGTAGGGTGGACCGGTTAGAGCACGAGATCGCCTCATACTAAAGGTAATTAAGCCAGGTCTTTAAGGTTCCATGTACAGTGTTTTCTCTGATATAGCTTGTCATATACTAGGATTCTGGCTTCACAGCTAGCGCCCTTTTGACAGGTCAAGACGAGGAAGCATGCTTTGTGCATCAGTTACCAGGGTGATGGAAGCTACCTCAAAGAGGGAAAATGTGGTGTCTACATCCTGGTTATACCTGGTGGACTAAGGCCTGCTGTACAAATAAGATAAGGAACCTCTTCAATGTATGTAGTCTAATACTGTAGTTTGATTGGCTGCATATATATAAATTAAATTAATATAAACCCCCCTAATGTGTAGAGGATCGATTTGTGAGATTATGAGATTATTGCAGAAATACAGTCCACTTATCATCATACAAATTGCTATCGAAGTATATAAATTAACGTAAATATAAATTCTATATAAATTCATATAAATTAAATAAATATAAATCTCACAGGTCGGTTCCCACACGTCGCGGTTGGTGATTCATGTGTTGATATTCCTTGTGAACACGGTCCTTTCCTCCAGGTAGCATCATCGCGGTGGCATGAGGGTGATGTCAGCGTCTTGCTGGGCCGTCGTGGTCATATTAGTGAATATCTTCTCGAGGTCCAAGTCACTGGAGAGGAGCAGGCGAACACCTTCTTTTACCTTCCTACTTCCTACTCCTCAAGTAGGGAGTAGGAACACCCTTCCTACTCCCTCAAACCCCCCTCCCCCTCCCTTCATTTTGTCATCTCTGGTTCTCCTTCTCCCCTCTCCACCTTTCTCCCTAATATCCTTCCTCCCCCTCTCCTTCCCTCTCCTATTTCTCTCCTTCTGATTCCAACTCTCCTTTCTCCACCTCTCTCCCCTTCTCCACCTTTGTCCTCCTATCTCCAACAATATCCCCCATTCACCCTCTCTTCTCTCTATACTTTTTTTTTCAAATCTCTCCTCCTCTCACCTCCTCCCCTGCTCCCCTCTCTTTTCCTCTTTCTCAATCTCCTCTCCACTCTTTCCCCTCTTATCCTTCGCCATCCCTCTCCACCTTTCAACTCTCTTCTCCCCTCTCTCCTTCTCTCTCACTACCCTCCTTCTCTCTATCCCCCCTCCGCACTTCTCAAAAATTTTTCTCTCTGTAAATGTATTATTATTGAGCACTGAAACTGCAAAATATCTCTTCGAAAGGTGCAATCTGTATTTCAGACATCCTGAAAATCGCCAGGGGGGTAGTTACTTTAATGCCAATATTTCTGAATGTATGGCATTGGTGCAAACCCGAACTCGTCTATGACAATTCCATGTCTCCCTCCCAACCCCCATGTGTCATCTTAGAAAGTAGGGTGAGGGGCTGGGGCCACATACGCCTGGCCGCAGCCTCTGACAAACATTCATGTTTATAGATCTAGATTTCGTTATACTGGCTTGGGTTAGGTTAGGTTAGGTTGGGTTAGATTAGGTTGTGTTAGAGTAAATTAAGTTGGGTTAGGTTAGGTTAATTAAATTGACTTGGGTTAAATTAGATTGGGTTAGGTTAAGTTAGGTTAGGTTACGGTAAGTTAGGTTGGGTTAGATTAGGTGTGTTTGAATAGTAATGGTGACGTAAAGGGGTACATAGTTTTATCAGGTTCAACACCCTACAAGGTTCGTCAGTGTGAGCACTTACCAGCAAAGGCAGGAGAAGGCGCCGTGGGATGGTGCCTCGGACGGCCATCTTGACTGACTGAGCTAGACTCTCACTGGCATCACTGGGGGCTGTAACGAGAGGCATCGTTATCACATTACCCTTGCTATCACTGTTATCTCTGTTCTTCACCTTCCTTTTATGCTCTCTTTCCTTGCCATTTATATTTTATTTCTGCGCCTGCCTCATCATCTTCCATCTCCTTTTCCCTCATATCCATACTCCTCCCATATTCCCCATCCTCTCCTCTTCTTATGAACCCTACCTGCCATCCAGGCATAATAGTACCTATAGTTACCATGGATGGAAGTACTTAATATGGACTGTTGAGTACAAAAATCCTCTACGTTTGGTACTAGTAATTTTGTACAGGGAACGAGAATGTAGGCAACAACCAAACTTACCTTTTCTTAGGTCTTGTATAGTACATATATGTATTATGCCGGAGAATGCATTTTACAGGCCTAGTGGACAGGAAGCCAGAGTGTATTCATAGACGGTAGACTTATACTGAGGTCCCCTCCCCCCAAGGCGGAATTACTGACCCCACCCCAGGATGCAGCACAACAAGCTGACTAACTCCTGAAAATTTACTCATTGCTAGGTGAACAGAAGCATTAGGTGAAAAGAAATGTACCCAACCATTTCTGTCCCGCCCGAGAATCGAACCCGGAATTCACGATTGTGATTCGAGAACGAATCCGACTGTTCTACTGGGATCCTTTTATATAGGCAGGAGCAGGTTAGGTTTAGGGTCACTTGGCTTCATCCTTTATTTTGAAATGCTATTTTGTATTCCAGGAGTACAAAACACGGATAACAGTCCACATTTTGTATATTCGTTCCAAAGTTGATAGCGATTCTCTTTTTTGGGGGTATGGTAGATTGTTACTCTTTCTCAGTATCACTCACTTTCTCCTCCTCCTCATCCTTCTCATTCTCCTTCTCTTCCTCTAGTTCTCACCCTACCAACTAATCATCTTTCCACTTTTGCCACATGCCCTTCTTCCCCTTCACCCGCTGTTATCCCTCCTCCTGTTATCTACTTTTGTCATTCCTCATCCTGTTCCCATTCTCATTACTCTTTTCATTCCCGTTTTGTTGTTCATCCTCAAATTTCTTCTCTTTTCATTTCTCTTCCTCTTCGTTCTCCACCATTTCCATCTCCTTCTCCTACTCCTCCTCCTTCTTCCCCCATATCTACTTATATGTAAGTACTTTCCTATCAGATCTATCCTATCATGACTTATCAGTGAATACAGGTTAATGAAGTCAAGCTCTTATACATAGCCTATTAACCTTGTAGCTGCTGCGTTATACTTTATCTACTCTGACGTACTAATACTGTATCGAATTTGGCCTTAAAAGTTGTGAATGGAGTTGGCTTCCACAACTTCCTCCTCTAGTTCATTCCACTGGTAGACTATCGTTCAGGGAATAAGTATTTCCTTACATTTCTTCGACTCATTTGCGTTTCCAGCTTCCAATTTCCAGCTGCCAGATATCCACATGTCTTATTTTCAATTTACAAAAGTTATCCTTGTTAACTTTGTCTATGTATCTTAGTATCTTGTACGTTGTTATCACTTCTCCTCTCACTCACCCCCCTCCTCCCGTTTTCTGCTTTGACCACTCGTCAGTCTCAGGGCCGCTATCAATCACATGGTCCGGCAGGTAGGTACTTGTGTATCTGGGGCCAGATTCACGAAAGCACTTACGCAAGCACTTACGAACCTGTACATCTTTTCTCAATCTTTGGCGGCTTTGTTTCCAATTATTAAACAGTTCATGAGCTCCGATGCATCAGGAGGCTGTTTATAACAATAACAACAGTTGATTGGGAGGTTTTCATGCTTGTAAACTGTTTAATAAATGTAACCAAAGCCGTCTAAGATTGAGGAAAGATGTACTCGTTCATATGTGCTTGCGTAAGTGCTTTCGTGAATCTGGCCCCTGGCTGCTACTGGATGGATGGCCAACTACACACCCTCACCTTGGTTTACGGGTATCACGATATCACTTACACTATATTATTAAGTATACAAGTGTATAATAAAGTATATTTGAATAGTATTAGTTATACCAGTGTATAATTATGTATACCAGATTAGTATAAAGTAAACTAGTATAGTACTAGGTATACCAGTGTAGAATTATGTATGACAGCTGACTGGATAGCGCTTCGGATTCGTAGTCATGAGGACCCGGGTTACGTCCCCGGTGGAGGCGGAGACAAATAGGCAAAATGTTTCTTTCACCCTGATGCCCCTGTTACCTAGCAGTAAATAGGTACCTGAGAGTTAGACAGCTGCTACGGGCTGCTTCCTGTGTGTGTGTGTGTAACAAAAAAGGAGACCTGGTCAAGGACTGGGCCGCGGGGAAGGTATGCCCCGAAATCACCTCAAGATAACCAGTTTAGTATAAAGTATACCAGTATAGTACTAGGTATACCAGTGTAGAATTATGTATACCAGTTTAGTACAAGGTATACCATAATAATACAGTATTCGGTATATCAGTATAGTATAGTATTAGGTATATCTGTATAGTATATTATTAGATGTACAAATATAGTATTGTGTTGGGTATAACAGTATTGTATAGTATTAGGTATTCCAATACGTTATCAGGTATACCAGTGTAGTATATTGAATACCAGTGTAGTATAAGGTACACCAGTATAGTGTATGGTATACCAGACTAGTGAAAGGTATACCAGCAGTATAGTATTAGGTAAATCAGAATAACATTAGATATATCAGTGTAGTAAGAGATATATCAGTGTAGTATTAGGTGTACCAATATGGCATTAGTTAAAAACTAAAGTATTAGGTATGTCATTGTAGTAACAGGTTTGCCATTGTAATATTAGAAAAATTAGATGGAGCCGTGAGGAGGATTCGAACCTGTGTTGTAGGTACTCCAAAGCAAACGCCTTAGACCACTACACCACAACATGGTAAAAACATTGCAACCTGGGAGCCATGTGTGAAACCCGGGTTAGGCGTCAATGTAAGCCTCAGGAACCTTAGAGGATTCAGTTGAATCCCAGGTTGCAAAGCTTTTCCCATGTTGTGGTGTTGTAGTCTAAGGCGTTTGCTTAGGAGTACCCATCCTATTGAATCCTCCTCATGGTTCCTACTGTTTTTCTCATTCATACATAAAGAAATATAAAATCATGTGATTTCATTGTTCACCAGTGTAATTGTAAGTATAGCAGTATATTTTAGGTATACGCCTATTATATTAGGTATATTAGTATAGAATCAGGAGTACCAGTATAGTATAAGGTATAAAATATGATGTTAGGTATACTAGTATACCATCATATATGTTACCAATCAAAAAACGCCCCACTAACTTAACTAGCGATATTGAACAACAGGAAACTGTTCATGATATAAACACAGTTATCTGATTAGGTTATCATAGCTACCAAACGTTATCACTTCGTTCTAGAGTCACTCTCAACTCCTCATTATCCTCCTCTTCTCTCTCTCCTTCCGTCTTCTACATTTTTATCTTTTTCTCTTCTTAAAATTTCTTTTACTTCTTCTCTTTTATTCTCTGCCCTGGTCTTTCAGAGTTCCATTGTTTTTCTTCTTATATATTTTCCTTATGAGCGTCCTCAATTTTCTCCTTATCCTCCTCCTCCCAAAAATTTAGGCTGGACGGTAGAGCGACGGTCTCGGTTCGTGCAGGTCGGCGTTCGACCCCCCAACCGTCCAAGTGGTTGGGCACCATCTCTAATCCTTATCCTGACTTCTTCCAAGTTTTATATAGTCGTAATGGCTTATCGCTTTCCTTTGAAAGTTCCCTCCTCCTTCTCCTCCGTCTCCCACCGGATGCTGGGCGAGATACTGTTGATGTAACCCTGGGTTCCTGTGGGGAACCTCACCCCTGCATATCCTTCCCGTGCCTTGTCCTCACTTTGTGTCTTTCCCCTTACTTGTCCTCTCCATGTGCCCTTCCCCCTCCCTTGTCCTCACCTTTTGACCTCCCCCCTGTGTCCCCCCCCTTGTGCCCTGCCCCTCCCAATCCCATGTCCTCCCCTTGTGTCCTGGCCCTGCCTTGTCCTCCCCTTGTGTCCTTCCCCTGCCTTGTCCTCCCCTTGTGTCCTTCCCCTGCCTTGTCCTCCCCTTGTGTCCTTCCCCTGCCTTGTCCTCCCCTTGTGTCCTTCCCCTGCCTTGTACTCCCCTTGTGTCCTTCCCCTGCCTTGTCCTTCCCTTGTGTCATGGCCCTCCCTTGTCCTCCCCTTGTGTCATGACCCTCCCTTGTCCTCCCCTTGTGTCATGACCCTCCCTTGTCCTTCCCTTGTGTCATGGCCCTCCCTTGTCCTCCCCTTGTGTCCTTCCCCTGCCTTGTCCTTCCCTTGTGTCATGGCCCTCCCTTGTCCTCCCCTTGTGTCATGACCCTCCCTTGTCCTTCCCTTGTGTCATGGCCCTTTGTACTTGTCCTCCCCTTGTGTCCTTCCCCTGCCTTGTCCTCCCCTTGTGTCCTTCCCCTGCCTTGTCCTCCCCTTGTGTCCTTCCCCTGCCTTGTCCTCCCCTTATGTCCTTCCCCTGCCTTGTCCTTCCCTTGTGTCATGGCCCTCCCTTGTCCTCCCCTTGTGTCATGACCCTCCCTTGTCCTCCCCTTGTGTCATGACGCTCCCTTGTCCTTCCCTTGTGTCATGGCCCTCCCTTGTCCTCCCCTTGTGTCCTTCCCCTGCCTTGTCCTTCCCTTGTGTCATGGCCCTCCCTTGTCCTCCCCTTGTGTCATGACCCTCCCTTGTCCTTCCCTTGTGTCCTTCCCCCTGCCTTGTCCTCCCCTTGTGTCCTTCCCCTGCCTTGTCCTCCCCTTGTGTCCTTCCCCTGCCTTGTCCTCCCCTTGTGTCCTTCCCCTGCCTTGTCCTCCCCTTATGTCCTTCCCCTGCCTTGTCCTTCCCTTGTGTCATGGCCCTCCCTTGTCCTCCCCTTGTGTCATGACCCTCCCTTGTCCTCCCCTTGTGTCATGACCCTCCCTTGTCCTTCCCTTGTGTCATGGCCCTCCCTTGTC